TATTTAAACACAGTGACAACCAGCTGTGAAACATTAAAACCTGAGACACAAACACATCAGCTGAGAGCTTCAGTTTCTCTGATGTTCTGTGTACATGATATTTACTGGACAAATGTCTGACTGCTTCCTAAAAGTGAAGAAGGTAAAGGAAGTGTCCGTCAAAATGATTCATGAATATTAATTATCACAACAATCACTACATGCAGAAATACAAAAGAAGACAGAGAGACAAACTGCTCTTTCTGAGATCATTATTCAGATACAGCTTCAAACATAATAATGTAAAGTCTTTAAAGATATTTAAACTTTACATTATTATGTTTATGGGGAAATGTGGTGCTTGATTTCAGCAGTGACAGAAATTCTCCTTTGACAAGGCTCAACAATGTGCACGATTCACACTCTAAACAAATAAATAAAAAGGACCTATTACTGAACAAATAGAAAAACACAGATAGAAAATATAAGTGTGAGAATCAAAACACACAGCGGTGACATGACAGTCTGGTCCCAAGACGACCGCAGAGAGGCTTTCCATAATTATTTGGACAATGATACAGTTGTCGTCATTTTGGCTCTGTACACCACCACAATGGGTTTTAAATGAAACAATGAATACCTGCTTAAAGTGCAGACTCTCAGCTTTCATTTAAGGCTTTTTTCAAAAATGTAGTATGAACCGTGTAGGAATGACAACCATTTCTTCACACAGTCCCCCGACTTTAAGGGCTCATAAGTATTTGGACAAACTAACATAATCATCAATTAAACAGTCAGTTTTAATACTTGGTTGCAAATCCTTTACAGTCAATGACTGCCTGAAGTGTTGGACACATAGGCATCATCAGATGCTGGGTTTCTTCCCTGGTGATGCTCTGCCAGCCCTTTACTGCAGCCGTCTGCACTTCCTGCTTGTGTTTTGGGTGTTTTGCCCTCAGTTTTGGCTTCAGCAAGAGAAACGCATGCTCATTTGGATTCAGGTCAGATGTTATGACTTGGCCATTGCACAACATTCCACTTCTTTGCCTTAAAAATGTCTTTGGTTGCTTTTGCAATATGCTTCAGGTCAATGTCCAACTGCACTGTGAAGCATCGTCCAATGAGTTTTGAAGCATTTGGTTGAATCTGAGCAGATAATGGTGCCCCAAACACTTCAGCTTTCATCCTGCTGCTCTTGTCAGCAGTCACATCATCAATAAATACAAGAGAACCAGTTCCACTGGCAGCCATACATGGCCATGACATAACAGTACCTCCACCATGCTTCACTGATGAGGTGGTGTGCTTTGGATCATGAGCAGTTCCTTCCCTTCTTCCTTCTCTTGTCTTCCCATCATTCTGGTAGTTGATCTTTGTTTTATCTGTCCATAGTATGCTGTTCCACAACTGTACAGGCTTTTTAGATGGTTTTTGACAAACTCTAATCTGGCCTTCCATTTTTAAGGATGGTTTGCATCTTGTGATAAACCCTCTGTATTTGTATCTGTAGTCGGGGGACTGTGTGAAGAAATGGTTGTAATTCCTACACGGTTCATACTACATTTTTGAAAAAAGCCTTAAATGAAAGCTGAGAGTCTGCACTTTAAGCAGGTATTCATTGTTTCATTTAAAACCCATTGTGGTGGTGTACAGAGCCAAAATGATGACAACTGTATCATTGTCCAAATAATTATGGACCTGACTGTATGCTGACGATGGTGGTGCAGATTTACTGTAGATGGTGGACAGTGCAGGTGCTGCAGCGTCAGGTTAGTAAATTAAAGTGTCACTGTGGGAGGACTGAGTCATTTACTGTAGCTGATTATAAACGAATGTGCAGAACAAATACAGATCTTTTATGGAAGCGGCTTGAAAATAAAGACTGTTAAATAAGGAATGCTGTAAAATATCAAATACACAGAAGATTGAATATGAGATGCAGACAGAGTGTAGATATCTGAATAACTACCAACACAAACAGGATGTAAACATCTACAGAAAATATACATAAAAGTTTTATAATAATTCCAGTGTGACATGAATCCTGAACTGTACTGAATCTGAATTATGATCTGATGTTTATTCAAATTTTTTTTATTTTTAATTTTTTTTAAACATCGGTTTCTCTGACGCCTTTAATTTGAAAAACTGTACCGGATGTTTGTGTTAGCCGCTACTGTTAGCTTCACACAGACTGAGCTGCTGAGTGTGTTCATCCTCAGCTACAGTTCGTTGTTTCAGTTCTGTAAATGTTGAAATGCTGCAGTTTGTCCGTTAAACACCGTCAGGTTTTAATTATTAACGGACAACAGCCCGTTAACTTCCCGTGACCTCACAGCTAGCTGTTAGCCCCGCTGTTAGCCCCGCCGGAAGCGGTAGCACGGCTCGGTTCGGTCTACCTTACCTGTTTGTCCCAGGACTGTTTGAGGTGAACAGCAGCCACAGTGCTCAGAGTCAGAACCACAGAAACTCCCAGGACCACTTTAGAGGCTGTAGACATCACGTTAGCCTTTAGCTTCACGTTAGCCAGCTGCTAACAGGCTCTGATGTCCCCCGCTGCTGTTCGCTCATTCACTCCTCCTCTTCTTCTTCTACTAGTGTTTCTTCTTCTGCTGCTGTTCATCTTCCTTAACGTTCAGGCGTCTGTTTGGCGTCCTCCAAACAGCGCCCTCCTCTGGCGGTCACAACAACATACAGAAGTCCAGTTTACATGTTCAACACTTCTTTATATTTTATTTTACTTCCTTCATTCAAACTGAGATTGTTTTTAAAGAAAGTCCTGAGTGAGAGAGCAGCGTCAAGAGACAAACAAACAAAAAAAAAAACACAACAACAAAGAGTTTATACAAAAAGCATCAACATGTTTACAAATAAAAACAACATAAAATTATGACAAATACAAACACACAACAGACTCTGAACAAACAACATCAACTTGTTGTGCGTTTTGCTGCTCTACAGTTTCCACTTGTTCCACCATGTTGTTTATTTACCAGCTGACAGATGAGGTCGTGTCGTCTGCATAAAAATGAAATTGTGTACTGACAACATTACAACACATGTTATTGATAGAAACTGTAAATAAATAGAAAATATGACTTCAGCACAGGTACGTTGTTATAATCAGGAAATATACTTAAATTAAACCGGCCTCACTCTGAAGTCTTCAAATACCGCCGCTTGGTCAGTGACTTCTGCGTCAGACACCAACGACAAAAGCTGTCTTTTCACTTAGGCATGATACTCAGCTGGGCGGCGTCAGTGTGTAACGGTGCCTGACAGCAACAAAAGGGGGCGAAATGTCTGAGTAGGGCAGGAGGCCAGTGTTCACTTCCTGTATGACTGTAAGGCCAAACCCTGTTCTTTTTATAAACGTAACCACGTGTGTGTGTCGTTGAAGGAAAAAACATCAGTTGGTGGTGTTGTACCGACGTAGTGCTTTTATTTTGAAAGAGACTGTATGCAAACTGTACATTTCCTGTGAAAACAGAAGTGTATTTTGAAAACAGACAATGCATGTAACAGGCTGAAGTTGACACGGCGTCCCAGAACGTCAACAACCAACACACCCAGGGTACCTTGGACGTCACAAACACTCATAAAAACACAGTTGGTTTGTTCTCGTGTGTTTCTTTCTTTCTGTGTGAAGCTTTTGATTCTCATAAAGACAGAGATGAAGAGGAGAGCTCAGCTCAGCTTTATTTAAAAATGATAAAAATGATGTTGGAAACAAAAGAAATGGGAGTTTGTGAACAAAGAATTTTTCCAATAATAAAGAACAACAACATATTTTAGGTTTGTAACGAGAGGCTGAAGAGACGTGTCATCAAGGAAAATTATATTTCTCTTAATTTCCTGTTCATTTCTTCCAGCTGTGAGAAAAAAACATATAACACACATTTTTGTTGTTTCTGTCACACAAGTGATAGTTTTTAATATTCAATAACAATATCTAAACATTTAATTTGATTTTATTCATGTTTCATGACTTCTGTTACAAAAACAATTCTTACAGCATTTCTTCTACAGAAATGACTTTGTGTTTCTCTGACGCCGGCGCACAACCTAACGCATTGACGGATTCACGCTGACCGGAAGTCATTCATTCCAATGGAGGTGAAAATGACGGATAGTAACGGACTAGCGCGCAGCACGGCAGCAGTTCCGTTGACCGTTGGACTGTGGAGGCGTTGGATTTTTCCTGCTCGGGCGTTGACAAGATGACAGTTGTAAACAAACAATATTTCATTTATTTATGCAAAAGAAAAATAAGCATAAGCTTTTTTTTCCACTGTTAAAAGTGATTGTTGACCATAGGTTGATTTCTATGTGGCTGATAATTAATCTATATTTTTGAATTTTGCGCTCATCTCCATCGCCCATTTCACGCCTATATATCAGCTCTTTCAATAGTACACTACTCAACTCGTCTCAGTTCAGTTGGTACAGTGACAGTCAACATGAGAGGAAGATCTTCGCAGGAAGATATTCTAGCTCTTCTGCTAGATGACTTCACTAACAGCTCTCGTCGACAGCACGCTGGCTAGCTGTCCGCATCTGGCCAGGTCTGTCAACGACGGAACCTCACGGCGTTGTTCTGGGGGTGGGGAAGGCGTTTTGGAAACACTCCGTTAAAATAGGAAAAATAGGTTGTGCACCCGACGTGACAGAAACATTTAAAAAAAAAAAAAAAATCCAAACAATATTTGTATTTATTCTGTCAGAAAAAGTTTTGTTGAAATGATAAAATGAAATATTTTTCACTTCAATATAAAAATGAGAGATATAATTGAGTGCTATGTGTAAACTTTACTCAGTGAAAACACAACGCAGACGAAGATCAGAGAAACATGCAACAATTGTGTTTCAGACAGAAAGTTTCATTAAACAGTGAAAATAAAAGATCTTTCAGCGGGTTAACGTTTGTCACAGCTGCAGTCTGAAGAGAACTACATTACCCATGAGGCCCCTAGAAGAGCTCGTCCGTTGACCAGTGAGGAGCCGCGCTGCCGGCGGGGGGGGGGGGGGGGGCTTCTGGTCCCGTTCAGAGAAAGTGCCACGACTCTGCAGGCTGACGGACTGAGAGCTGAGGTGAGAAAAACTTTATTCCATCGGTTTTATTGAAGAGTCGAGCTCAGACTGGAGCTGAAGACGCTCCGAGTTCAGAACAGCTGCTGAAGGTTATGATGAGAAAAGATGAGAACAGAGTTGAGCTCGACTCCACACACTGAGACAGGATGCTGAACAGCTGCACTCAGAAACGTCTCAGTCCAACAGTCAGTCACAGAGAAATCTGCTCTTAATGGCTCTCTATAGAAACAAAGACAAAACCTGCTCAGATGAGATGATGGAAGTTTGCTCAGCCTGTTACTGCTGCAGCGTTCACATCTGTAAATTAATATATAGATTTATGAATATATATCCAGGTGAAGGTCAGTGTGAGGAACAGGTCTTCAGTTTAAAGTGACTTTTAATGTGAAATCCAGGATGTGAGGTGTTCACAAGAAACTGAGCTGAGTTACATAACTCTGTGTGTGTGTGTGTGTGTGAGTGTGAGTGTGTGTGTGTGTGTGTGTGTGTGTGTGAGAGAGAGTGTTCACAGTACAAAGGGTTAATTGTGGACTCGGACACGTTGCTATTTCTCAAACTCTCACTCTGTGTACTGGAGAATATATTCAGACTCACCTTGAACACAGCACAGAGTGTGTTACATGAGGATCAGCAGACGCACAATCATCTCTGCGTCCAGCTGGAAACTGTTTGGAGTTTATTTCTGACCCTCAGACGTAACAACAATCTGCAGACACTTTACTGAAGTAAAACTCAGCAGAAAAACTCAGATGTGACTCTATGACAGCGACACGAGTATCAGGAACAAAATGTACTGAAAGTATGAAAAGGTGAAAATCTCAAGATGCAGAATCGCCCTCCTCAGTGTTGTGTTATGAAATTATTAAATCATTATTACCTGTGTGTGAATGTGTGGATGTGAGCAGTGTTTCACATACTTCATACACTGTGGAGCAGTTTGATGTATAAGGGACTGTTCCTTATTTACGGGGTTCAGCTCGGGGGAGACGTTGCACCCCAGAACCTGCCGGTGGGTTTGAAAGTTTTCTTTAAAAATCAAAAAAATCACATAATTTATCACATTTATCAGGCTCGAGAAAAAAACACAAACAGAGTCAGAGGTGGTTTGAAGACGTTCAGTTTACTGTGAAATGAAACTAAAGTGAGGATGGACCGACACGTTCTCGTCCCACCTCGCCACACATCACCGCCTCTTTAGTCAATGTCTCGTCTACAGGTGACACATCAGGCGTCCTCCTGCGTCTGTTGTTGACACTCTGGGACGTCGTGTCAGTTTATGCCTGATACATGCATCGTGTCTTTTCAAAATTAACTTTTCACAGGAAGTGTTCAGTTTCTGCTTGTTTCAAAATAAACTTACATTGTCAGTAAAACACCTCAGATTTCCATGTGCAACAAAAGCATGTGGTTAGGTTTAGAAAAAACATCCTGGTTTAACCTAACCCTAACCCTTTCAGCTCCTTAAATCACGTTGTTGTCCGGTGGTGTTATGAACTCATGCCACGGACAGGTGGAGGATGGAGGGAGGCTTCCTCTCATTAAATGACTTCAACAATGAATTGATTAAGAAACATTTCAACAACAAGGCGTTTCAGAGAGCTCGAACACGAAACATCAAGAGCGTCAAGACAAAGTGCAAAAACTCACATTATGAAAGAACATCTGAAAATTATTCATTAAAGAACCAGAGAGATGTAAACTCCACACAGAGGGTCTCACCCACCCCGAGGTTCAAACCAGGAACCCTCTTGCTGTGAGGCGACAGTTCTAACCGCTGCAACACTGTGTCATCCTGGAGATTTATCAACACCTTTTAAAGTGTAAAGTCTTCGCAGGTTCATTACAGACACCTGATTTATCTGCTCCGAGAGTCTTACGAGTAAAAATGCAAAGTTTGTTTGAAATTTGAAATTTCACTGTATCACTGTATGAAGTGACAACAAAGGCATCTTATCTTACAAGAAACGTCACAGGGGTCCTAGAATCCAATCTAAATCCAAAAACTAATTTTCAGGCTTTTCTGTCATCATTCAGACAAAACAATGACTATAAAATGATAATCGTTATTGGCAGTCTGAGGCTAATCAATGAATCAGCTGATCAACGCAGCAGCTCGTCACCCTTCAGGAGATGAACAGGAGCTACTGTTCTGTAGATTCATCACGTCATTAAATGTGTTGAGTTTAAACACAGTCAGCTGAGTGAGGGTTCAGATTGAATCAGTGACGTTCTGCTGAACACAGACGTTGAACTTTGACCTCCAGTCAGTGATCAGCAGGTAAACAACCAGCAACACCAATCAATACGTTCATACAGAGGAGTGTTTCCTGTTAAAGGAAAGACATCAAAGCGTTCAGAACGTCACAGAGAAAAGTGTCAGCGGTGTGAACTGGCCGGTCTGAGCTGGACTCAAGCCGGCTGATGGTGTCACCTGACACTCAGCTGGTCAAATGGCCGACGGCTGGTTTTAAAGCACGTCACCTGTTTCAACAGCCAATCAGCTTGTAGTGAAGTCTGCTGGTCAAGTGTTGGCTTGCTGCAGCAGGTGCTCCGTCCCCACAGAGCCCTCTGTTTCTGTCCTCACAGTGTGCCGGTGTCAGACGGTGGGTCGCTGCTGCTGCTGCTGGCTGTATGTGCTTATGCCCCGCCCACACACACATTCTCATGACTGATGAATTGGTGCTGGTTATTTATATTATTGTGGCGTATTGATTATGAATACAGTCCATCTGATGCTGGTTTTGTTTCATCACTGTAGCCAGTATCTCACTATCACTATCCTCATTCAGATTTTAAGAAGCTACAAATTATATTCAGCCACAAAATAAATCTGAAAAGCTGCAAATCAGAACGAAAGTACAGATGATACACCGTCTCATGGCGGTCACTTCCTGTCGACGTTACAGATCAGAAGCACAGAGAGTCGTTGACTAGAGACGATACGCCGTCTCATGGTGGTCACTTCCTGTCGACGTTACAGATCAGAAGCACAGAGAGTCGTTGACTAGAGATGATACGCCGTCTCACGGCGGTCACTTCCTGTCGACGTTACAGATCAGAAGCACAGACAGTCGTTGACTAGAGATGATACGCCGTCTCACGGCGGTCACTTCCTGTCAACGTTACAGATCAGAAGCACAGGGAGTCGTTGACGTTACAGAATGGAGCGTCAACGGTAGGTGTTTGTTTCAACTCGTCTCGTCACAAATCTTTGGTCTGAATTGGACATTAGAGTCTTATTAGTAAGTGGGATTAAAAATTTTTCTTAATGGTGGTGCTAGAGGAAATATCATAGGTTCATCCTTTGGAGAGCAGGAAGCAGATTAGGACCTTTCAGGGCAGTTTAGTTCGGAGTTGCTGAGGTATTTTGTTCTCCATCTTTTCTTCAAGTGACATGCTGAAATGTCATCTTTACCCTCCAGACTTCCTGTTTGACACGAATCAGTCATGGACGTCTCCGACCCCCAGACCCTCGGCTTTATGGTCTTTGGAGGCTTCATTTTCATTTCGGCGGTGGGCATCACCCTCGTCTCCACGCTCTCCATGAAGGAGACATCGTATGAGGAGGCACTGGCCAAACAGCGCCAGAAGCTGGTCCAAACACAGACTCAGAGAGCAGAGAAGAAGAAGAAGGAGAAGACCCTAGAGAAGAAGAACAAAGCCAAGAAGAAGGAGGAACAGCCAGATGGGAAGCTCTCAGAACCAGGCAGTGATGGTGGTGAGGAGCCTGAGGTGGTGGCTTGTACCGAGCCGCAATCTGACCCCGAACCTGCCACAGAGCCCATGGCTGCCCCTGAAATGCCTGAACCAGAACCAGAACCAGAACCAAAACCAGAACCCGCAGCGGTCACTTCCGCCACCATCGAGTCTCGTCCAGCCTCCTCACCAAAGGAGAAGAAGAAGAAGAAGTCAGCCAAGGTGGAACCAGCTGCTGTGCTGGAAACTGTTAATAAGGAAGTTCTGGTCATGGCAATGGCGCCGGTGGTAGACATTCCTCCAGTAAACGTTGTTTCTGAAGTGACCAGAGAACCATCAGCTGCTAAAACCGAAGAACCCAAAGAGAGTTCAAGCAAGAAGAAGAAGTCCAAGACCAAACTGGAGCCAGGTGAGTGAACTCATGAACATGTTCGTCTGCATCGATTTCAGACGTAACATATCGGCTGGACATTCCTGTAAAATAAAGTTTAATTAAACAATAGATTTCAGTTAAATTCTATCAGATTAAACAGAACATTGAAGGTTGTGTTTTGTCTTTGTTTTCTACAAGTGACCGACTCCGCCAGTTCCTCCCTGCTGCTGCCATACAGCGAGCTGCTGTTCGTTGTATCCAACATGGCACTCAGTGATGACGAGTTGCACAAACTCATGGAGGTCCTGAACCAGAGGGCCAATGTCCGCCACGACTCCTGGCAGCTGGTAGATACAACTGAGACAGTTCACCAGTTAGTGTTAGCTGATAGAGTCGCTAAGGTCCTGTTTCCACCAAACTCTTTCAGTACAGTACCTTTGGAACCAAAAGTAACCTTCAGACATGGTGCCTAGACCCTCAGTCCGTTTAGTGTTTCCAGCGCAAACAGTACTCTTAAATGTTGGCGGGGTTGTTGTCACTCACTGCTCTGTCCTGACCTAAAACTGCGTGGACAAGAGGCCACAATGTAGAGGAAAATATCTGTATACAAAAATACCTAACTATGTGTAGACAGGGCCTTAGAGCCAGATCATCATTCTTTTATTCACTCTGAAGGTCCAGACACACCAAAACAACTTCAGAAAACTAGCGGTGACGAAGGCCCCCTGTCGTGTCACTTCATGCGGCCAAGTCTCGGCCAATAAGTTGAACATAAACACACCATAGAGACGACAGACGACAGCCAACCAGCACGTATGTTCTGCTCCTGCTGAGAGGAAATAAGTCTCCACAGCAGCAGACGGCAGTCATCTGTGTCCATCATTGAAAAAGGGAAACAGGAAGAGCGTCTTGATGCTAGTTAGCCAGTTAGCACATTAACAACACAATCAGAGCATATTTACCGTGCGCCAGTGAACAATAACACAAACCATCAGGAAACGTTTCTGCTAAAGAGAAAAATAATCTGACCTTATGGAACAAGTTGGTTTGGTCTCACTCCCTCTGGACTTTAGCTCCTCCTTTACTCACTGACGTTTCTTTGCTCATCACCTGAGATCAGCTGACAGTCAGAGGGATTTTATTCACCAACAGGCTCTGCCTTCGCTGATTCAACAGGCTCAATCGGCTGTAAAAAAGCCAATGGGGGGCAACAGTGCAGGACACACAGACTAGGGCGACAGAAGCTCACTGATGGCCAAACATTGGTCAACGGCCTACTGTCATCTTGGTGTGTCAGGACCTTAATAATTACAGTCTTTACTATTAACTGCCAACTGGAGAGCTTTAGTAGCCAAATAGTTGCAGCACATGCCACATTAGCCCAACAAAACAAAAAAACCTGAAAGTATATTAATAACTGCTAACTGTTCTCTTAAGTCTGATGGTATGGTCACTTGCATTTCACAATCATTACCACTACATCACTTCCTTCCAACCCACATGACCTGAAAGCAGCTTTGGTGTGAAAGATTTTCCACATCTCATCAGATAGTAAAGTTGAGTCTGTGTTTGACTTTCAGGCCTGTCAGAAAGGAGACCCACTGTCCACTCTGAAGAAACAGCTGGAGGAGAAAGATAAGCTGCTCACCACTGAGCAGGAGGACGCCGCCACCGCCAAAAGCCGCCTCCGAGAACTCAGCAAGGTGAGCCAGGCAGCGTTCACATCGTCAACTGTGTGATCGCCGAAAGATTTATTTCTTCAGTACTGTTGGTTTGTTAAGATGATGCTGGGTGATGTTACCCAACAAAGAATAGTATGACGACATCTCAAAATATCTTGGTCCTCTAAAGGTGCACTGACAAACAACGACAAGTCAATAGAACACATGTAAGTGTTCTAGACAGACGGGACTGAATGAGACATTAAATAACCACAAGTATTTGATACAAGGCAGATAACTCTATCCGTAAGATTTCACTGGAGTTTAGACGAAGAACTGTGAATACCATCAGACCCAGACCATTTGTGACAGTACAAATACATTTGGGCTGTTGATTAAGCAGAGTGTGAGCACTAACATTCAATTTTTCATAAGAAGGTCAAGTTTGGGCTTGCTGTGTTCCCTTCTTCAGGAACTTGGTGCACATAAATCCAAGATGGCGTCTTTGGATGCCAGTCTGAAGGCAGAGCTCAGTGCTCGGGTTCAAGAGGTCGACACCATGCGGGCCAGAATGGAGGCTGCTCACCAGGAACATCTGAAACACACCCAGCAACTCAACCAGAAGGTATTCTGTAACAAACTTTAAAGGCTTAACAAAACAAGCTTCAAGTTAAGTATTTTGAGGGAAAGTCAAGTCACAAGTCTCACAAGTAGGGGGTAAGTGTAACACAGATCTCAAATCCTTGAGGGCAGATCCAAGTCAAGTTAGAAATCTTGTCCAACTAAGTCTCACTTCAAACCTTACGTCCTTGATAGAAGGTCCACATCACGTCACAGGTTTTTAAGGGCAAATTACAAGACTTGGGGGCAGGTCTAAGTCAGGTCTCAAGTCTTGTCCAAGTAAGTCTCACTTCAAGTCTTATGTCCTGGAAGGTAGGTCCATGTCAAGTCACAGGTCTTCAAGAACAAATTCTGCTGAATTCCTGCAAATATTTTCCTTTTTTAAAGTTGTTTTAATCGTGAATTTAAGTCTCAGGTCTAACTAGTTTTTTTGGCTAACTAGTTGTTACCTGGGACAGAGTGGAGAGGCAGTATTTGTAGCGTGTTTACCTAACTGGTGGTTAACCTGGAACAGATTGGAAGTCTGCAGGAACAGCTGGAGAATGGTCCCAATGCTCAGCTGGCCCGACTGCAGCAGGAGAACTCCATCCTCCGAGACGCCCTGAACCAGGCCACCAGCCAGGCCGAGAGCAGGTAACAAATAAGTCAAGTACCCATGAGTCACAGCGTCCTTTGCTATTAACATATCCAAAAAGTTCTCCAAAAATGAACCTCTAATTGGGGTCATATCAGAGTTATCAATTTCTGACATGTAACTAGTATTCACATCGACCCACAAATCGTCATTATAGCTGTGAAACTGACTTTTCTGAAAGCTCTGATAACTGTGGTACTTTAAGTACTGCTAAAGTACTACAAGTTAAAAACTCTTAATTCAGCTCAAATATTTTACAGAAGTTATTTTTCAGGGCCGCAGATACTTAAAGTTTGACCAAAATCTAAAACTTGTGTCTGATTTGACACATGATGACCCGTCTGTCATCTGGTCTAACCCTCCCTGCAGGCAGAACGCGGAGCTGGCCCGTCTCAGGCAGGACTGTGTCCATCTGGGTCGGGAGCTGACCGAGTGTACCGATGCTCTGCGGGCCAACGAGGAGCTCAGGAAGAGCCTGGAGGCCAAGATGGCCGCTGCTGAGCAAGAACTGGCCCAAGTTCAGGTCAGAGACACAGAACTGTAGTCCTTAATGTCACATCTGCTCAGCTGCTGCATTTGTAGTTTCTCACTTCTTTGACTTCTTTTTTTAACCAAAATGTCTTCATTTTAATGCCCAGTGTGATGGAGAAGATGCTGTTAACAGGAAGTGACCCGTGTTTTCTGTCTGTCTGTGCAGCTGGTGCGTGAGGACACGGAGCGTGCTCTGAAGCAGCACCTGGAGGAAGTGCGCTTGGAGCTGAAAGCATCGCAGCAGGAAGCTGCTGCTGTTAGCGGTCAGTGTTTCTGTTAGCATGTAGCTAACTCAGACCAGTTTCCCAGATCTGTAGAAATCAAAGAACAAGAGCAGGAAGCAGAGGACGCTGGAGTCCATTTGTTTTTTCGTGAGCTGTTTGTGGTTCTGTTTGTACCAAAAATATCCATATTTACTGGCACTGTCCAGGATTTAGGCAAACATGTATCCGACATCTAACTGTAGCCTTTTCCACCAAATAGTCCCAGAAACTGTGTCTGAGTCCAGAAGTTACCACAGCAACTAAACCCTCCCCTCAGCTCACTGCTTCCTGTTTCCATCACGTCCTACTGTACCAAAGACACAAGCTGTGTCTCAGTTCAGGGGCTGCAGCCTTCGAAGGCTTCATTTGAAGAACGATTGCCTCATATTGGCGCAACCAAGGTTGTCCCGTTTCGAAGGCTCCTTCAAATGCGGCCGAGAATTGTAGCCTTCTTTCCCAGAATTTGGGGGATGCAACGGATGAATCCTTCGTGGCCCAGCCTATCCCAAGATGCATTGTGATTGTTACAATTATATATTAAGTTAAGTTAACCAACAGTTAATAACTACATCCATCCATCCATCCATTTTCATCTGCTTATCCGGGGCGGGGTCGCGGGGGCAGCAGGCCAAGCAAAGCGCCACAGACATCCCTCTCCCCAGCAATGCTTTCGAACTTTTCCTGAAGGTCCCCAAGGTGTTCCCAATCCAGATAAAATATGTAATCCCACCAGCGTGTTCTGGGTCTGCCCCGGGGCCTCCTACCAGTGGGACGTGCCTGAAACACCTCCAGTGGGCGGCGCCCAGGAGGATCCGGATCAAATGTCCAAACCACCTCAACTGATCCCTTTCGATTCGAAGGAGCAGCAGCTCTACTCCGAGCTCCCTCAAGGATGTCCGAGCTCCAGTCCCCTCCAAAACTTTTGGAACCCAAGGCCATATCCTTTGTTTTCAGTTGTACACTGAAGACATTTGGGTTTCAGATCAAAAGATGAACATGAGACAAGAGTTCAGAAATTCAGCTTTTATTTCCTGGTATTTACATCTCAAAATAGAACATAGGACATAGAACCTTTTGTTTGAGCTCACCCATTTTCAAGTAAGCAAAAGTATTGGAACACGTGGCTGACAAGCTTTTCTCATTGCCCAGGTGTTTAGATTGACTGTTATTGACTATTATTATATTATTATTGACTGTTGTTGACTGATATATAGCTCTGAATGTCCACTCTTGGTTGTGGCTTTGGTATTCACCTGTGAAAACTGCATTTGTTGTCAAGAAAGGATTCACCAACATGAAGAGCAGAGAGCTGTCTATGGGAGAAAAGCAATGAGAGCCATTGCAAAACATCGGGCAGAGCCAATTCAACACTTTAGAATGTCCTGGAAAAGAAAAAAATACTGTTGTACTGAGCAACAGACGTCAAACAGGCTGGCCGAGGTCGACGACAGCAGTTGATGACAGAAATATTGTGAGAGCTGTTAAGAAAAACCCCAAATCACAGTCAGTGACATCAAGACCAATGTCCACAGGGCAGGTTGAAGGTATCACAATCCACTGTTGGAAGAAGGCTGCGAGAGGAGACATAAAGAGGCCACACCACGAGATGCAAACCACTCCTCGGCAGTAAGAACCAAAGGCCAGATTGAAATTTGACAAGAGGTTAGAGATGAGCCATAAAAGTTCTGGAGCCCAGTTTTATGGACTGATGAGACCAAGATGAACCTCTGCCAGAGTGATGGAAAGGTCAAAGTGTGGAGAAAGAAACGATCTGCGTAGGATTCAAAATATATAGGCTCATCTGTGAAGCAAGCTTGAGGTGGTGTCATATCTGCTTCAGGAATGGGTTCACTAATCTTTACTGATGATGTAACTCAGGATGGCTGCAGCAGAATGAGTTCAGAAGTCTACAGAAACATTTTGCCTGCTGATTTACAGACAAACACATCCAAACTAATCGAGAAGAACTTCATCATGCAGCGAGACAAAGACCCAAAATGCACTGCCAACCCAACAAAGGATTTCATCAGGAGGAAGAGGTGGAAGGTTTCAGACTGGACGAGTTATTCACCCGACCTTAACCCAATAGAGCATTTCACCTCCTGAAGAGGAGACTGAAGGGAGAAACCCCCTGAAACAAGTAAAAGAGGCCGTGGTAAAAAACCTGGAAAAGCATCACACATGAAGAAAGCAACAGCTTGTTGATATCAGTGGGTCGCAGGCTAGATGCAGTTATTGCTAGGAAGGTGTTATTCAACCAAATAGCCTGAAATCAAACAGCAGCGTCTGCGGCAGTAAATCATCTGTTCAAGTAGGCGAAAACAACTGGTGATGCAACCAGGAAGTGCTCGGCAGACCAGACCTTTCGGTTTGGCTGATGCGGTCTTCAAAGGACGTGGCCGACGTCGACCATGAAGGCCGCGTCCTTCAAAGGCTGCAGCGCCTGAAGTGAGACACAGATACACCGTATGCTCCAATACCCACACTGTCGTTCTATGAAGTATGCTCAGACCCAATGATCTTTGATGATACGACAGCTGAAGTAATACAACTGATGGCATAGAAGTGTTGTTCGTTATCATACACATAAATATGTGTGTAACTGTGTTCATGTTTAGGTACATACATACATTCATGGGTGTCAGCATGTATGATAAGGCGTGTGGGTATCATGTGTGTTGATATGTGTGTGTGTGTGTGTGTTATGTAATGTATCCTCTAACGTAAACTTAAATATATGAGTTTTATGGGCTTTTTTTTTTTTAAAAAATGATATCATTATATTATTGTCACTAATTTCCTGACATCATTAATGCTTTGTATATTCATATTTTATGTATGTATATGTCTTTTTTTTTGGTCTCTACATGTGTTAAATAGTCCTCACAAATGCAAGTTGACACCAAAAATATGCCAGAAATACCAGGATGTTCGACTACATCCAGTCCGGTTGTGCAGCCAAAATGTTTTCCTGGTTATTCTGACCCACAATCCTCTGCACAAAGATGAATATGACAAACAAAAGGACAGAAGTATAAAATAATCCTGACAGATGTAATTTCACTGTCACAGCTATAAAACCTGAGAATCTACAGTGTGTGCAGTTACAACTTTAAAGTTAAACCAGAAATATCACAAAGACACAACAGCAGAGCTCTGCGGGTTGATCTCCGTGTTTGCTATATCTCCATGGTAACAGATATATGAGTAAGAGGGTCAAAGTTCAGGATGTAACCTTATGAGACAGTCGTCCGTCCGATCAAGAGCAGACTGCAGGAAACGGTACAAACCTTTCAAGGGCCGCTGCAGGAACTACTGCAAGTGAAAAGTAAGCGACTTGGGCCGAACTCACAGTAACTCCACTCTGCTGTTTGTCCCTCAGAGCTGAAGGGGGCGCTGGCGTCTGAACTGCAGGAGCTCAAGGTCCAGCTGGAGAACCAGGCTGCAGTCCAGGTAATGACGGCTCATTTCAGGGCTGGCAAATGATTCTTTAAAAAAAAAAAAAAAAAACCTGTTTAAAATTATTTTCCATTTGGAAACAGTTGTGACGTCCACGTTCACGAGGTGAAACAGTTCTGAGCAGAGCGTCCTGATCGGGAATCAAATGAATGTAAAGAAACTGACTTTATCGTTTTGATTTTTAGATTTATTTTCTTTAATCAGCTGCTCTGCAACAACAGTGAGGTTAAAGCGGAGCAGTGAGATGTCCCGTCAGGGTCGGCGTGGTGTGACGTTACTCTGATATGATGTGGATGACTCACTGACGTCTGATGATCCGTTAATGTGACAGTGTTGACACGTTTCAGGAGTTCATTTCAGTGTCTGTCTCTGATTCATACAGATCCTGTATGTGTCAAACTATTGTCCCCCTGCCGGTCACAACATGTCCCCCTGAGGACGTCCCTCAGGCCCGAGTCTTCTACCATGTCGGCTGGTCTGCAGTCAGTGTCTGTAGTGAACTTGTTTGATTTAGTTTGATCCACAGGTCTGTGGTGATTGGCTCTCTACTCAACACATCAGTCTGATCAGCTGTGAGCTCAGATCACTGCTGACTGTCAACTGGGGAGACGTCTTATATGACATCACTGCTGCAGCAGGAAGCAGGAAGCTGCTGCGGTGGCTGGACTACAAGTAAGGGGGCAACAAAGGGACAAAATAGCAGCACAGGATTAACACGATTTAAAAAAAAGAAAGCATTATGTTTGAACCTTACTCACATCACGATAACGTGTTCACGCTGACAGCCCTCATTATTACTGAACAGCACCGTCGACTGACTTTTATTGATCATAAACAGATCGATAAACTTTAACCAAAACGTTCAGTCACCAGGAGAAAATGTTGCACTGAATGTTTGTTCCAGCGGAGGAGGTGCCGCCGACAGCAGCTGAGACATGACTGTGTTTCCTGCGGGAATGCTGCCGTGTTTTTGTGCCCAGCACCGCGTTCACATGAAGTCAGGCCGACAGTGGACAGACAACACCTCCTGGACATCACGCTAAAACCAAACCAACAGTCGAACGCACTCGCAGTAAAATGACACATGCGTGACGATATGATGATGCTGTGTTGTTTTCAAACAACAGAAAGAAGTATGTTAAATAGAATAACTGTATGTTCATTATTTCATGTAATTGTTGAGTCGCCTGAGTTTAGGCTTCGTGTGAGGGAGCTACGTAACATCGGGTTGTAAATTCCCTCAAAAATATAAAATGCAAGTCTCCGTCTAAAACGATCCAGGCTGTAGGGTTTGCATAAAAATTAAAATGCCTTTATTTTTTTACTAAACAAGGTATTTTTATTGATAATTCTGCGTTCAGCGGCGTCATCAGGTCACCACGTGGGCGTGTCCACAAAGACCTGCAGAACTGATGACGGTGAAACTCTGGACGCAGTCAGTTCCTCGTAACCAGCAGGTTGACTCACAGATGAGAGTTTGACGATGATGAACTCTGGCAGTGAGTTTGGGCGGTTGTGGCGTGCGCTGCTGACAGCGCTGTGTTTGTGTGTGCAGGCGGAGCGCTCGTCTGAAGTGCAGCAGCTGAAGAACTGGTACGAAACTCTTGTGTCACATTATTGAACCAATAACTGAGCGCAGACACTGTGGCGGACTGTAGTTTGACTTCCTCTGTCACTTCCTGTCAGTGTGCAGCGCAGAGACGAGCAGGTCGTCTCTCTGGAGGCGGAGCTTGATCGGCTGAGGGCGGAGCTACAGCTGCTGACGTCAACACAGTCCCAGAGGTCAGAAACAACACATTTAGTATGAGGTTATTAAGAGTAGATTTTCTGAGCCGTGTGACAGCCGAGGAAGACGAGGGTTTCACCTTCACTTCAGTAGAGTCAGAGTTTGATCACAGCAGCACCTGGTGGACATCGGAGGAACTGCAGCTCTGAGGTTTTGTTTCTGTGTGTCCTCAGAGCGGAGGAAGACGCCAACGAAGCAGCAGCTGGTGATCAGACGCAGAGAGACGTACGTTTCTATTTCATAACAGATCACTGATTATTTCACATGATGACACGAGTCTGTCTCACAGCTGGTATTAGTTATTGTGTTTGGGGAAGTTTAACCTTCAGCAGCTGCTGCCAGCGTCACCTGAGAGAGTTACGTTTGTCAGAGTCGTTGCTAACACAGCTTCAAAGTTTAGTCAAAGTTACGTCATCATTTTTATCATGTTATGTCATGAATGGTGCATTCAAAGATGCTCTGACATCCAGGATTTCTGACTTTTACTTTGTTAGAAAATCAAACTCAGGAGAAAATAATCAAAGAAGGACTCAGTAAAAATGTGATGATTTATTTCTGTACAAACATCAGAGGTTCTTCTTCTGGTCTCCGTCATGTGACGATTATAGATTTCAAAATAACAGATCAGACACATCCTCAGGTTCTTCAAAACCGTCTGTGACAGCTGTGGTGATGATTCTTCTTCTCCTCCTCCTCCTCCTCCGCAGAGTTCAGGAAGTGAGACGGAGTCTGAGCAGCCGTTTGAAAGGTGAGAAACACCTGAATCAATAAACAGCCGGTGTGACGCTGTGGAAGTTCTGTTTGTGTCTGACATGTTTAATGTTTGATGTTGACATATTGTTTGTTTTTAAATGTTGTGTTTGACATTGTTTGTTGTTGTTTAATTTGTCTGTGAGGGAGTTTTGAATTTTGGAAATGGACAAAAATGTGCAGGGGTAACACAAGGGTTAAACTACAAACACCACCATAAACAACAACAAACACAACCATAAACAATCAATCAATCAATCAATCAATCAATCAATCAATTAATAAGTCAATTTTATGTATAAAGCCCAATATCACAAATCACAATTTGCCTCACAGGGCTTTACAGCATACGACATCCCTCTGTCCTTATGACCCTCACAGCTGATCAGGAAAAACTCCCCAAAAAACCCTTTAACAGGGAAAAAAAACGGTAGAAACCTCAGGAAGAGCAACTGAGGAGGGATCCCTCTTCCAGGACGGACAGACGTGCAATAGATGTCGTACAGAACAGATCAGCATAATAAATTAACAGTAATCCGTATGACACAATGAGACAGAGAGAGAGAGAGAGAGAGAGAGAGAGAGAGAGAGAGAGGGAGCCCGGTGTATTATAGGGGGTCCTCCGGCAGACTAGGCCTAAGTCAGCCTAACTAGGGGCTGGTACAGGGCAAGCCTGAGCCAGCCCTAACTATAAGCTTTATCAAAGAGGAAAGTCTTAAGTCTAGTCTTAAATGTGGAGACGGTGTCTGCCTCCCGGACCGTAACAGGAAGATGATTCCACAGGAGAGGAGCCTGATAGCTGACAAACAAACAACAACAAACACCACCTTAACGTTGTGTTTGTTGTTGTTTATGGTGGTGTTTGTTGTTGTTTATGGATGTGTTTGTAGTTTAACGTTGTGTTTGTTGTTTGTCAGTCTGGAGAAAGACTCTGAGCTGCTGCGTCTGGAGGAGGAGCTACAGCAGCTCAGAGAGGAGCTGCAACAGGCTCGTAACCACGGCAACGTGAGTCCAAATCAAACCCTTCATGTCACATGTGACGTGTTTAATAAAGTTTTAGTTTGAAAAAGTCTGAAACAGATTCTGTTCAGGTGTCAGCGACTCGAACCATCAGGGGAGGAGAGTTGAACGCCGACGGTCACGCACAGATTCAGTGTTAGAATGAAAACAACAGCGGAGGAATAAAAACACGTCGCGAGACGTCTGCTCTGTCAGCTGGGACTTGACACTAACCAAGATTCACAAACTGTGACACCGTTTAGAAACAGTGAAGATCAAAACGCTGTGAACGTCACAACGAAAACATGTTTTTGTTGAAATTTGATATAAAAACTTTTTCGAATCAAAGTCGTATATTGATAATGAAAACTTCACTTTCTGTGAAGTTCATAAAGTTTGAATGGAAACTGAGTCAAAGTTTCAATTCGGATATTTTTATTCATTTTTATATGTTTTTGATTTATTTTGTCTTAAAGACAGAAAGAGACAGTAAGCCAAAGGGTTACATGTTAAAGTATGAGAACTTATTTCCAACATTTCCTTGTTGTTGACAAACAAACATATAAGACCAAAGACGAGACAGACTTTCATACTGAGAAGCAAAACAAGACACAATTACTAAAATACAAGACATTAAAAACATAAAACATCCGTAAATAAATAAAATCGGTGAGTGAATGTCAACATTCAACATGCTGCGTTCACTTTGTTCCATAAAAACATCTTAACATGGCTTTTAAAATCCCCTGTGAGGTTACACGTTTAGTTGAAAGTGTCAAACTCCACAGTCCTCTCTGTGAGGTAAGAACAGAACCATTTAAGTGTTATTTCACTAAAGTCCACACACTGCAGTTGTAGAAGTAATATTTCATGGTTGACGGTATCGAACGCTTTTTGCAAATCAAGAAGTATCATACCAACATAGTTTCCTTTATCAGCGTTCAGACGAATCTAATCAAAGAGATGAATGTGTCAGGTGTCAGCAGAGTATGTTGCTCTAATGCCAGACTGAAATTCATACAGCAACTTTAGCCTGACGAGATTCTCCTCCACCTGCTCATACTCAATACACTCAATACTTTGATATAGTCGTCAGAATTGAAACTGGCTGATAATTTCAAACCTCTCATCTGCTGTTCTTCTTAAAAAGGAAGGCCATCCTTGCACTCTTCATTTGGAAACACACCCTGCCTTAATGACAGATTTATGACATGCTTAAGAATACTAGCTGTTACACCAGCACTATCTCTCGAGAACCTGCAGGAATAAGATCCAGTCCAGTGGCCTGATTCACTGAAATAAATACACCTGAAGCAAGAGGCAACTTATTGACCAGACTGGCAGCAACTGTTGTAAGAATATTATGAAACTGACAGGCAACCTGCTGCTTGTCAAAACACAACTCATCCTTAATGACTAGTCCAACATTACCAGACCTTCACCTTGATTTTGCAGTGGAGCCCATGTCACTAAGTACTTTCCATAGTTTGTTAGGAGTTTGCCACAATAGAGTCAGTATAAAATTCTGACTTTGCTTTCTGTACCATAGCCTATAGCCAGCCTGATTCCTAAAATACTATATTAGTCGTGGTCAGTGCTGAGTTTAGAATTTTTGAACTTTTTAAAAAATCTGTCACGTTGTCTGATCAGATCAATGATTTCAGATCCAGCTTGCACTTCTCTGTTTAATTCTTGATTCCCTCAGAGGTGCGACCATATCAAGTGCAGCTATGAAATGCTGCTTAAACAGATCCTGGGCACCATTAACATCATTACGTTCCAGAACATCAGACCAGTCTCTCTCAGATAGGCTTTGATTGAACCCTTCAACTGTATGTTGTTTGCTGCATCTGTACTTGATAGAACGATGGTCAGTTCGTGGTTATGACTTGATTTTCTTTCATTATTTTTTAAATGTTAGTTTGTAAATAAAGTCGGCGCCAACACATCCGCTCTGCAGACGGGGATGTTTGAACAGTTGAGAAATAAAGACTCAGGTTGATTTAATAAAACAAAAAAGACTTTATGAGGAGTTAACAAACTTTTCTTTGTCCTTGTTGTTTCTTTCAGGAGCTGCAGGACAAAATGGCAGCGTTTTCCACTGCAGAGCGTCAGAGCGAGCAGCGGGAAGCGGAGCTGAAAGCAGCGCTGGTCAGTTGATTAAATATCTAAAGAAAGGACTCGTCACGTGAAGCCGACGTTCAGTTTCTCTGTAAAAACTCTGATTTTTCCACACGTGTGTTCAGACTGAGGTGGAGTCCAGGTTTGCTGCCTTGTGTTTGGACTTCCAGGCGTCGCTGCAGATTCTGTTTCCAGGTGTCTCTGTGGAGGCGGAGCAGGTCGGTCAGCTGCTTCTTGTTTGTTTATTTATTATACCAAAACAGTATATTTATATATTTATATATTAAAACCACAAACCAAAGAACAAATGTTTTCTGTGCTGAGAACTAGAGATGCGCGATAACATCGTCATCGGCCGATATGATTTTTCTTCTTTAGCACACTGAGTGAATATTACAGACACTGAACAGTGTCTCGTGTCTCTGTCACCATCACAGTCTGTGTGTATGATATGATGTTAATTCATCTACAGCAGAGACTTGATGATGATGGTCACTGACATTAGGTGAGAAAATTCGGAGTCAAATGAGTTGTTATCAGCAAAGAATCCAGTTTGTGTCTCTACCGAGGAAGTGTTTCAGTAACATCCAGCCCTGACTGTAGAAACTGTAAAATATTTTTTGGCACACTCCATTTTTGTCTTTTGTCCTTACGTAGATTTTCAGTCTGGGTCCTATGCTCTGTTTTATGAATGTGAGCTCAGGTGTTAACGGCAGGTGTGTTTTCTCTGCAGAGCGACTGGCTGCAACGTTTCACTCAGAAAGCTGAGGAGAGTAAAAGTGTTGCAGAGAGCGCTCACTCCGAGGTAAAACCACAAACACACGTCATGCTCTGACACGAAACCTGACAACTTTTCACACACTGAGAACGACTGCAGCAAAAAACTCAACAAAGGATTCAGGGAGGAAAACTTATTCAGGAACTTCAAGAAGAAGTCGAGTCAAGAGGCGTTCAGAAACTAAAAACTCTTCACACGTTCTGGTCGAACATGATACACTCACACTGAGCACTCCGGAGAACTGAGGAGTTTTCACAGAAATTAGAAACATCTATAAAACGCAGACACTTTTTTTGGTTGAAAACTTTTAAGTAACTGATGAAGTTTTTTTTTTTTTTCCTACTTAAGACCTCAGGAACGTTTTTTTGTTTGGAGCATTTTATCTGAATTCAGAGACATTTTCAAGTCCCAGATCAAATGGAACATTTAAGGAACTCTGGAACATTTGATGTTTTAATAAACTTAAAGGACATTATACCAAAATTTAGATGTTTAGTTTGGTTGTGAACTCGGGAATGTTTGATCAGAATTCAGTTTCTTGTCACAGTGTTCAGGCACAAACTCAAGACAACAAGATTTTTAGAACTCAAACTTTTTCAGGTACAAAGGACGTTCTGCTAGAAGTCCGTCAGTCTGAAGTCAGGAACTTTTTTGGAACTCTAAAATGCACTTTGTCCAGAAGGAAGAAGAACTTCAGAAATGTTGACAGGAACTTCCCTAAAACCCAGGAACTTTTTTAATGAGACAGAGACATTTTGTCTGAATTGTTTATTATTTTTCTAAGATGTATTTTTTCATAACTTCTCTGTGAACGTTTTTTGTTCAGCTGCAGTCGAGGCTGACGGAGGCTGACAGGAAACAGAGCGAACTGCAGACAAGGTTCGATCAGAACACTAAAGTGCTGCAGGAAATGGTAAAACAACGACTTCCTGTCAATAAACCTGAAAATAAAACTGCTCTTCAGTGAACCTTTTTTCTTCTTTGACAGTTATCTTGGTCTTTGTTATCTTTTGTATCAGTTTCTCTTTTACAGCTTTGCTTCATTATGAGTGGTTTTCTTCCTGAGCGTTTTTGTTTGTTGTTTGTGTCTGTGTCAGGAGGCGGAGCTTCAGGTGCTGCAGCGACGCTCTGAAGAAGAAGAAACTGTGTGGAAGAAGAAACTGTCTGAAGCCGAACAGCAGAAACAAACAGTGAGAGTTTTATATCGTGTCTGATGCTGACGTTCACGCTGTATTTTCCAGGTTTTGTGACTTTTATCCTAAAATATTATCTCTGATTTTGTGGCTCCAACATTTATACTTTATTTTTAAGGATAGCCCCTTGACATGTGCCATCTCATTTTCGAGGGGGTCCTTACAAATAATACAAATACAAAACAAAAGAGAATACCAAACATTTAAACACAGAGACACCCACCCACACACATACTCTGCAAGGCTATCTCAAACCTAGCCACTCACTCACCAGCCAATATTACACAATCAGTTACAATCAGAAAACCGTCTGTGATGATGCACATGTAAGAGTAGACCTGTGTACACTTATGCACACACATACACACCCATATACATATAAATGCACATACATGTATACATACAGACACACTTAAACATACATAGTTTACACAAAGTACATACATGAAATACATGTGTGAACAAGAGGAGAGCAAATTTAGACAGATTGGTTATAGAAAGAAAAAAAAGATCAAAAACAAGAGCATGATGTTTGAACATTAATAAATAGAGATGATTTAAAAATATGAAAAGAGGTGATAGATCTAAGTGAGCAACGTAGATTATTCCAATCAGATGGAGCTTTAAATTTAAATGCACGACGACCAATTTCTTTGCTGATTCTAGGTGTAAAGAAAAAAAGATGATCAATATGTCTGAGGTTGTACTGTGAATTGAAAGGAGTTAGAGATTGTTTCAAATACTGAGGAAAATTAAAGTAAATACAGTTAAAAGTAAATAAAGACCAATGAAATTGCCTTCTGGACTTGGGGGCCAGCCAGTTCAAAGACTCATACACCAGGCAGTGATGGGCTCTATATGGACATCTCAGAACAATCTACAGAGACTATTATATAATACAGTGAGCGGATAAAGATTTGTTTCTGAGGTGTTCCCATAGATGACATCAGCATAATCAAGGATTGGTAATATCAGTTGTGTTATTATTCTATTCCGGACTTGTAGAGAGAAGCATTCAACAGAGCGATAACGTGATTTCAGACGACCATGTATTTTCTTGCAGATTGAGTCGATGTGAGGTTTGAAAGATAGCTGGGAATCAAGCAGGGGGCCCAAATATTTAAATTCATCTACTTTTTCTAGTGCTGTTCCGTCAAGAAAATTAATATACCAGTTTTTAATTAAAAGCAGAGAATCAGGTCGAATGCATAGTGTGTGATTTTTTCTTATTTAAATGAAGCTTATTAAACGAAAAACATTTTTGAACTAAACTGAAATCAGATTGTAATGACTGTTGAATGTGTGAAATGTCCAAGTTGGAAAAGTATATTAGAGTGTCATCAGCATATAAATGAATTTGGCAGTCAGAACAGATTTGTGGAAGATCATTGATAAAGATAGAGAATAATAAGGGACCTAAGGATGAACCTTGTGGCACACCTTTATTGATAATCTTGAAATCTGACTGACTGTGCTGAAAGGAAACACATTGACTTCTGTAATGAAGAAAAGAGTTGAAAAGTAACAAGGAATCAGTAGAAAGACCAATAGCATATAATTTATCTAAGAGGAGATAGTGATCAACCATGTCAAATGCCTTAGTACGGTCAATGAATATAGCACCTGTAGGCATGTTGCTATCAGATGCTGACAATATGTCATTGGTAAATTTTAAAAGAGCAGTGGTGGTTGAAAGGTTTGGTCGAAAGCCAGATTGGTGTGGAGATAGTAAATTACAATCATTAAGATATTTCGATAACTGATTAAATATTAGTTTTTCAAATATTTTAGCTATACTATTAATAACCGAAATAGGTCTATAGTTATTGATGTCTGTAGTATCACGCCCTTTATGAAGAGGAGTTACTCTGGCACATCTCCAAGATGAGGGGGTTTCACAGGTTGCAAGTGATAAATTAAATGAGGCAAATTGTGATTTGTGATATTGGGCTTTATAAATAAATTTGATTGATTGATTCATCAAAAAACAAAGTTTCGTGCTAATGTTAGCATTAGCCACCGGCCACTAGCTTTACGCTGTCATGTCAGAGTCAATGGAGGAAAGCTCACCAAGAAATGTCTCTGCTTCATCTGGAATGCGAAAGAATTAAGTCTTACCAGCATGGACAACTCTCAACGTGCAGGGATAGATCAATATGTATTTGATGTCGCGATCACGTAGTTTTTTCTTGACCGCATCAAACCCCCGGTGCCTCCCGACCAAACCAGCAGAGAAGTCCGGGTAGATGTAGACTCGAGCTCCTTTGACTCAGTGTCTCTTTATTCAGATCGGATGAACTGCAGCTGATTTACATTTGTCATCTTTTTTATCATCATAAATACAATGAATACAGTCTGTAACATGATGAGCAGGTTATCATGGTCTTCAGTGTGTGACTGCTGCTGTCTGCAGGTCCTGGATCAGCTGCAGCTGCTGCAGGATGAAGTCCGATCACAGAGGACAGAGACAGACAACACTCAGCAGGTCTGTGTCCCCGTGTCTGTCCTCTTGAGATCAAAGCAGGTGAAAACTTGATGTTGGACGTTAACGTAGAGTTTGTGTCTTAGTTGAAGGAGCAGCTGATGTTATTGGAGGCTCAGCTGGAGAAACAGCTGGAGGAGGCCAGCTTCACCCAGAGCTGCTGTGAGGAGCTTGCTCAGGTCTGAACCACATCACACACATCACATGTTGAAGGTCACATGCTGCAGTTTGCATGTCGAAGGTTGCATACCATAGGTCTTACATCCCAGGTAGCAGGGCAAGGTTTCATGGCCCATATTGCATGCTGCAGGCCAGATTTCAAAGGTAGCATGTCCTAGGATGTAGGTTGTACATCTAAGGTGACATGTCCTAGGACGCAGTATGTATGTCAAAGGTAGCAGGTACTAGGACACAGGTTGTATGTTGAAGGTTGCATGTCCTAGGATGCTGGTTGTACGTAGAAGGTAGCATGTCCTTGAACACATTATGTGTGTCGAAGGTAGCATGTCCCAGGATGCAAGTTGTACATCGAAGGTAGCACGTCCTAGGACACAGGCTGTATGTTGAAGGTTGCATGTCCTTTCATTATTGATTCATTATTGATATATCTGATCACTGTCTTTGTGTATGTGTGTGTGTGTGTGTGTGTTTCTGTTTCAGGTGCAGTCTCAGGTGCAGCAGATGTCCGTCAGGCTGCAGGTGGAGCAGGAGCAGCGGCAGCAGCTGGAAAAACAGCTGCAGCAGGTCAGAGTCACATCTGGAACATCTGTCACACGTTCACACACTGACGACAGGAAGTGAGGTCAGACTCTTTCCTTTGTTGTTGTTTTTCAGGCTCAACAGGAAGTGATGGAGCTGCAGCAGCGGGTGGAGGCTGATCAGAGATCTGAGGTTTCTGTCTCTTCATGCATTCTTCATGCCTCGATCGTTGTTTAGACTGACGATTTAAACCAAAGTTAAAATGGGGTTTTGGTGGCTTGGTGGATAGAACAGGTGCCCCATGCACAAGGCGGTTGCCGCAACTGCTTGGGTTCGATTCCAGCCTGTGGCCCTTTGCTACATGTCATTCCCTCTCTCCCCCCTTCATGCTTAGCTTCCCTATCAATTAAAAGCAAAAATGCCCAAAAGTATATCTAAAAAAAAAAAAAAACAGGTTTAATGTCTGTGTACTGAGACAGGAAGTGTGGCCTCGTCAAAGTAAAAGTCATTAGAGGATTTAAGTAAAAGTCACATGTAGAAGTTCGGGCACCCCTGGTTTAATATTAGATGAGTAGAAGATGAACTAAGATCCAGCTTTTTAATTTCATCTTTTACAGTTTCAAAATAACAAAAAATAAAAAGGGTCTGAAGCTAAAGTTTGGACTCCTACATGGTCAGTGCTCAGTAGCGCCCCCTTCCTCTAAACACTGTTTGTATCCAGCTCAGAGTCTTTCAGGAGGATTTCTTCTTGGGCCGTCTTCATGCTCTGCTCTTTGAGCTCTATCCACAGATGTTTAATGATGTTTAGGTCGGGGGACTGTGAGGGGCGTGGCCAAATCTTCAGCTTGCTCCTCCTGAGGTCGTCCATTGTGGATTTGGAGGTGTGTTACGGATCATCCTCTCTTCATCTTCAGCTCTGTTACAGATACTGTGATGTCTGGAATTTAATTGATCCATTCTTCCCTCTACCTGTGAAATGTTCCCCGTGTCACTGGCTGCAACACAAGCCCAAAGAGTCATCCATCCACCCCCGTGTTTAACTGTTTGTTCTCCAAACATACCTTTGCTCATTGTGTCCATTCATTTTCAACTGTTTATCTGGGGTCAGGTCTCGGGGGCAGCAGGCTGAGCAAAGCACTCCAGACGTCCCTCTCCTCATCAACACTCTCCAGCTCCTCCTGGAGGACCCCGAGGTGTTCCCAGACCAGATGAGATCTATAATCCCTCCAGTGTGTTCTGGGTCTGCCCCGGGGCCTCCTACCAGCTGGACCAGGAGGATCCTGATCAGATACTGAACCACCTCAACATGAAGGAGCAGCGGCTCTACTCCGAGCTCCCTCCAGATGTCTGACTCCTCCCCCTATCTCTAAGGCTGAGCCCAGACACCC